GACACCACCATCAAAGGAAGGTGCACTGTGAGAAGAGCAGAAGCACCAGGCTAAATATAAAACTAAAACATAGCCTCCACTTGAGTTCTTTCTCCAGGACACCGAGGTTATTCTTTTGCTCCTGTTTTGAACAAAAGGAGACATCTGCCCCAGATGCCTGCTGGGAGCAGGGAACAGAGACCAACACAGTATAGGGTAACAGGAAAACCTTTTAGAGCATATGAGATCAGCAGTTCCGAAAGTGTGGACCAGGAACCCAGAGGTCCCCAGGACCCCTTTAGGTCAAAGCTATTTCCAGAATATGAAGAAGTCATTTAGCTTTCTCATTGTGTTGATATTGGCAACAATGTTATAAAACTACCGGTAGGAATCAAGGCAGTACCCCCAAACCACTGGTTGGCTGCCATTGTATTCTTCAGCATCACAAACTTGCAGGGGGGAAAAAAAGGTCAGTTGCACTTAAGAATTTCTATCCTTAACGATTCCATAAAAATTATTAGTTTTAATAAAAATTAATGACCCTTAGGTACACATCTTTTTAAAATTTTGAATGACAAAATGGAAAATACACATAAGCACTCCTGCTGAGTACCAAAGTATGATGGTTTTATCTGGAGGAAATGCATGTGCATGATGGTCTGAGAAACAAGTTGAACTAGCTGCTTTTTTCATGGAACACCATTTTTATGTGAAATAAGTGACAGATAAACAATGGTTATTTAGATTTCGATATCTGGTGACATTTCCTCCAAAATAAACAAAGCGAGTCTGTCATTTTAAGGAAAACAAGTGACAGTATTTGTTGCAGCTGATAGAAAATTCAAGCTTTCAAATAAAAATCAGAATCTTGGAAGTTATATCTGCCTCATAAATTGAACATTATACCAATTCTTAAAGTCTCTATTGAGATGGATGGTGATGTTAACAAACGTGCTTTTTAAAATATTTATAATGAAATGTGTCAACATTTGGAAGATACGCAAAACTCAGTGAACCAGTATTCTCCAAATGATCAATGCATGTTACAAAATCATATATGGGTAAAAGATTCATTCAACATGCAAGATAGACCAATGTATTTTAACACAACTGAGTATGAAAAGTTCATTGATATAGTTTCATATCCACATTGCAATTAACTTTGAACAAACTAAAATTTGTTGAATTCTGATATAATGTCAAAGAATGTCCACAATGATCTGAAAAGGTTGTTAAAATACTCTTTCCTTTTCCAGCTACATATCTGCGTGAGCTAGATCTTCTTTAGTTCACACGTGAAGCAAACCAACATGGTGCTGCAGGCTGAATGCAGAAGTAGATACGAGGATCTAGCTGTCTGCTGTTAAGCCAGGCATTTAAAGAGCTTTGCAAAAATACATACATAAACAATGCTGCTCTTTTCACGTTTTTTTTTGGTTTGGAGTTTTCTTTTAAAAAAAAAAGTTATTTATATTCATATGTAATGGGTTTATTATTGTTTTTAAATGAATTTAAATTTTTTTTCAGTTTTAATTTCTAATATGGTAAGTACCATTAGATATGACCCATATAAACAAAACAAAAGCTCTTTGAGGGCCCTTATTAACACATTGAGGATGGGGCATTTAAATGTACAGACACAAATCTGTGTCACTGGTCCACAATGTGTCAACTTTTAAAAGTATAAAGGGGTCCTGAGACCAAAAAGTTGCTGTACTTGGTGATCTCCAAAATCACTGCTTGTGGTTGCTTCAAATAACCCGCTTCTTACCTAATTATTTTGTTGTTGTTGGAATGAGAGCCCCGTAAGGTGAAATCTGGAGTTATCTCCCTCAACCCCAAGAGTCCTTTCATGGAAAAAAACCCACGATATCTCAATAGATGCAGGAAAAGCATTTGACATAATTCAACATCCTTTTATGATAAAAACACTGAATAAACTAGGAAAAGAAGGAAACTACTTCAACATAATAAAGGCCATATATGAAAGGCCAACACGAAAATCATACTCAGTGGTGAGACCGAAAGCTTTTTCTCTAAAATCAGGATACCTCCTCTCCAAAACAAGGATGCCCACTTTCACCACTTCTATTCAACACAGAAGTCCCAGCAAGAGCAATTAGACAAGGGAAAAAAAATTAATTTTGTTTGTAGACAACATGACCTTACATGTAAAAAATCCTCAAGATTCCACAAAAAAGCCTGTTTAGAACCAATGAATTCAGCAAAGTAGTAGGATATAAAATCAATATACAAAAACCAGCAGGATTTCTACGTACTAACAATGAACAATCTGAAAAGGAAATTGAGAAAGCAATTTCATTTACAATAGCATCTTTAGGAATTAACTAAGGAGGACTCGTACATTGACAACTATAAAACATTCTGAAAGTAAAGAAGATACAAATCAATTGAAAGACAGCTCACGTTCATGGACTGGAAGACTTAATATCGTTGAGATGTTAATACTATACAAAGCAATCTACAGATTCAATGCAATCCCTATCAAAATCCCAATGACATTTTTTGCACCAATAAAAAATTCATTCTAAAATTCATATGGAATCTCAAGGCACCCCAAATAGCCTAAATATTGCAAAAGAATGACAAAGTTACAGGTCTCAAACTTACTGATTTCAAAACTTATTACAAAGCTATGGAAACCAAAACAGGGTGGTACTGGCATTGAGACAGACATTTAGACCACTGGAACAGAATAGAGAGCCCAGAAATAAACCCAGTCAAATGATTTTCTATAAAGATGCCAAACCACTCAATGGAGAAAGGACAAATCCTTTCAACAGATGATGTTGGGAAAACTGAACAGCCACATGAAGAAGAATGAAGTCGGACCCTTAACCTTACAACATATCCAAAAATTAACTGGTGGGAATGTAAAATGGTATAGCTACTATAAAAAACCAGTATGGTGGTTTCCCAAAAAATGAAAAATAGAATTACCATATTGATCCAGCAATTCCACTTGTGGTTTTATATACCAAAGAACTGAAACCAGGGACTTAAACAGATATTTGTATACTAATATGAATAGCAGCATTATTTACAATAGCCAAAATGTGGAAACAACTCAAGTGTCTATTGATAGATGAATGGATTTAAAAAAATTTGGTGTAGACAAACAAAATAATATTCAGTCTTGAAAAGGAAATTCTGACACATGCTATAGTATGGATGAAACTTGAGGACATTATGCTATGTAAAATAAGGCAGTCACAAAAAAGATAAATTCTATATGACTCCCCTTATATAAGGTACCTAGAACAGTCAAATTCATAAATACAGAAAATAAATGGTAGCTGCCAGGGCTTGGCGGGAGGAGGTAACGAGGAATTCTTGTTTATTGCGTATAGAGTTCTAGTTTTGGAAGATGAAAACAGTTCTGGAGATGGATGTGATGGCTGCACCACAATGTGAATATACTTAATACCACTGAAGTGTATACTTAAAATGGTAAATTGTATGTTATATATATTTTATCACAGTATTAAAAAATCCACTTATCAGAATAAAATAAGCAATACACCCCCCCCCCAAAAAAAAAAGATTTTCATCCACTGGGCTCCTATCATGCTCTGTGAGGACAGTAACTGATTCATCCATTCATTCAGTAAAAGTATGTGCCCAGCATGGTGTAAGGTTCTTGGGGTACATCAGTGAACACAAAGATCTAGTTCCTGTGGAACTTAAAATCTAGTGGGAGGAAGAGGAGGCAGATAAGAGAAAAAAACAAAGTAATTTATAGAATATGCTGGAAAGTAATCGGCCATAATGAAAGAAGAGTAGAGAACAGGAAGCAGGGAATGCTGGTACTTGTAAACGTTGAACAGGGTGGCTAGAATAAGCCTCACTGGGAAGGTGACACTTTGGCAAAGGTTTGTTAGGGGTAAAGAAGGTCATCATGTGGATATGTGGAGAAAGGTCATCCCAGGAACAGGGGCCAGTAGAGGGCAAAGGACCTAAGGAACCCTGGCTTGTGTCTGAGCAACAGCACAAAGGCCAGTGTGGCTGCAGCAGGGCCATCAACAGGAATAATGATGAGAGATACTGTTAGAAAGGTATAGGCCATGGTAAGGCTTTTATTGGAGATAAAATGAAATGAAGACTGTAAGATTTCCTGACAGACTAGGGAGAGAATGAGAGGAAAAGAAGAACCACAGATGATTCTAAGGTTTTAGGTCTTAGCAATATTACAGATGAATTAAGTAAGATAGGGAAGGCTTCAAGAGAAGCAGGTTTTGGAAGAAAGATCAGGTGTTCGGTGTTATTAGACATTGTGTTAGATGTCTTTTTCAGATATTTATTTAAGTTGAGATGTCAATAGGTAGTTGGATATATGAGTCTAGAGTTCAGGAAAAAAGATGTGGCTAGAGACATAAATCAGCATATAGGTAATATGTGAATCCATGAAACCAGGCGAGAGTCCCAAGGTAGTACAGATGGAGAAGAAAAGAGGTCCAAAGTCTAGGAGCTGGAGCAACACAACATAAAGAAGTTGGTGGAAAGAGGAAGAATCAGCAAAGGAGACAGAAGGAATGACCAAAGAGATCAGTGGAAAACCAGAGACCTCAGATGGACCCAGAATGGGGGCCCATCTACGGCTACTTCTTTAACCTTGTGAAACGGCTTTATGTGTGAGAATTAAATGAGACCAAGTATGGAAAAATGGCTAGCACATGGAGTGCTGGAACTACGCAAGTATGCAATAAATGGCATCATTATTATTATGATTAACAACAACAAATTTTAGCCTCCTTCCGGCTATCATAGTCATTTATTTTATCGCTTCAAAGGAAATGAGCTAGGAAATGAAACTGAAAGAGTGATATAGAAAGTGATACAGAAACACTTGTCATTATTATTGGTAGACTACAATTGTAATAATTTTAAAGCCATATATAAGTAAATAGGATAAATACATATGGAGACCAAAAAAATAAACAAATAAATAAAGCTTAAAGAAAAAGGTAATGTTTAAAAAAACCGATAAATTATTTCCTTACCCGCATCACTAGCTGCAACAACAACTGTTCCACCAGGAGCAAAAGGATCATTGTGTGTCAATGTTTCTACCTAAACGAATTATACAAAACCATGACTGAGGGGCAGCATTTCATAGTTGAAACCTCATTGCCATGCCAAAGAAAATATTCTTTACAAACTCCAAATTCATTAAGGAACACAAGGCATTAGGAACAAATGTTATCCCCTACTGATTTGCAATCTTACTAAATCGAAATGATACGTATCATTTCTAACCTCCTTTTGTGAAATATAACATCCATTCATAAAAGTGTATGAAACACATGTACAGTTTAACAAATAAGTATCAAGTGAACACATGTTATCACCTCCCAAGAAACTGCCAACACCTCAGAGGTTTTCATGTGCTCCTCTCTAATCACAATCCCACCGCTCCTCTGTAGAGGTCATTATCATCTTGACTTTGGTGGTATTCATTTTTCTTTCCTTCATAATTTCGCTACTAGTATAGATGCACACTATTTTAACTTTCTTTTCTGAAATAATTTTAGATTTCTAGAACAGTTGTAGAGACAAGAGAGTTCCCATATATTCTTCACCCAGCTTCCTCTAATGTTAATATTTCATATAATCATGGTACAGCTATTAAAACTAAGGAATTAATACTGGTACAAAAATATCTAGCATACTATTCTGACTCTTAAATATTCTAGTACTTCAGAAAATGCTAGATTTCCATTTTCTAATTGTTATCTAAAAATAATTTGAGCATTCTTCCCCCTGGAGGAAACATGTGCTTGTGCGTGGGGGCAGGGGGGAGGGGGGAGAAAGGGAGAGATGTAGATACACAGTTTTCTGCTAAAAAGATCCTGCTATTTTCAAATACGCCGTGTAAAAAACTGCATCAAGTGGCAAGGGCGAGTGGCGACAAAGAGTAAGGACTTTACCAGAAGCCAGAGAGTCCTGCTATTGAACTGTTGTCTTACTTTACTTTAGTTTTTAATCATAGTCAAACAAACTGCATATTTAGGAAGACGACTGAACTTTCTCTTTCTGGCCTCAGGCTGTTTTTAAGAGGCCAGCCGAAAGCCTTGGCTTGGCAGACAAGGGAAAGGGGTGTAAAAAGTGTTTTGGAATATTTGTCTCCTACTCTGACTCATGGTTATCAATGTGGTCTATTTCTAATCAAGAAATTAGATATTGTAACTGAATGTCAAAGGATAATGAAGAGCTCAATTTATAAACTTCCAAGTAAAACAAATGTATTTGAAAGGAAAAAAGTAATGCTAACCGGGGCGTAAATAAATAATTAATACTAATGATGTTTTTGGAATTGAAAATGATTGTACTTATTTTAACTAATGCCAAAATTATTATTATAAAACTAGCTCACTAGCTTATATTCTGATTATATCTGCTGAATGAGTCGATAGCAATCAAAGAACAAAACTTAAGCTGGTCTGTAGAGCAAAGTAACTTCCCATGGTTCCTAATACAGTGAAAATACCAGTATGAGATAAGGGCACTGACATGATAATGTAAGTCAACAACTTTTATTGCTTCTTCTCTTGACTTTGAGGGAAGGAAAAACGAATAGGCCTGGTTTTTAATAACAGCTTGCAAGTTTTATGGACCATTATAGAGAGAAATAGAAAAAGCATGCCTACAAGCGTGTCAGGTTTAATTTCATTCCTTCATCATACACTCTGCAATTGCCCTAAAAGGCCACTGGGACAGCAATGGGAACGAGACGGAGTGTGCAGCCCATGATGGAATAAGAGGCCACAAAACTCTCTTATGTTCAGTCTGATAATTAGGCAATTTAGTACAAAAAGGCAATTTTTGTAACTAAAATTGAGATGACATGATTTTATAAAATTAATGTTCCAAAATCCTCCTATAAGGTCTCTCTTCTACATCAGTCCCCCTTTGAGAGTGTGACTTAGCACTTATACAGTGCTACCCACTAGCTCGGACAGCAGGGAATGGCAGTTGTTTGGTTTTTTTTAAATTATGTCCCTGTGAGAGCAGAAACCAGTCTTGAGGGAACAGGACTTTTAGGGAGAGATTCGTGTCTGTAGGCATAATCAGAAGCCTGTTTAAAAAAATAAAGGAAGATCACAAAAATGCGGGGTTTCTAATGAGAAATAAGATTAATCTTAGACTATAGTGGTAAACACCTTAGATTTTTGTCAGATAGACCAGGGTTTGAATTCAGTTCTGTCATTTACTAACTTACTACCACGTAACCTCTCTAAGCCTCATATATTTTATCTTAAAAATAAGGCTAATGAGTCTCATAGGATTATTGTGAAGATTAAATAGGTAACACATGAAAAGAGTTTAGCACCATGCCTGGCACACAGAAAAGATTAGATAAACACAGCTGTTATTGTACTGCCAATTTGTTTTCATGTTTTGTTTTTCATGGAGATATTAAGAGCTGTCAGCAAGGGCAAGCTGCTTTTGAAAACTGGGCAGAAAAAAGTAAATAGAACTAATGGCGAAAAATTTTCACCAGGGTAGAGGAACAAGAGAAACTTGTTTATTTTTAAATTAGGAAGAGCTACTTCAGCTTTCTTGCTCTTTAAATGATGTGATTAAAGAAAGAGAGGGTAGAATAAGGTGAAAGGAAAAGAATTCAGGTTGTAGGCAATTTAAAAAGAATTTGGCAAACAGGTCCACACTGTCTAAGTGTTGTAGGAAAACATAGTATCCAGTAGCCTGTGGAAACCACAAATATTCAGTTACGGAGGCATTTGCTCAGTTTTACATCAATGGAAAATGCCAGCTGGTGGCCAAGTAGCTCTTTACCAAATACAGTAAGGAGGCAATTCGAGAATACCAAAATCTACTGTCTTTAAAAGAATCAATTACTCTTATAAGGAAGTGTTCTTTATCAAAGAGCATTAAAAGATAGAATTTTTGCTTCAAATGTTGTCACTCAACTGACCCTTTCTGGGTCTGGTTTACTTGTGGACACGAAAATCCTGCTTAAAAAGTAAGCCTCCAAATAAAAATTGGAACAAAAACAAAACAAAAAACCTCCAAAGTTACTCATAATTATTGAAATTGAGTGACAGATACATGAAAGTTTGTTAAAGTATTTCATTATGTTATTCAATTTTGAATGTTTAAATATCCATGATATAAAGATTTTGTTTTTATTTTATTTTTTTTTTTAGCTGAGCCATCCTGCCACCTGTTGGCAGCTCAGCAGCAGCTCAGCTCGGGCTGGGACTCGAACCGCAGTTGCTCAGAGCTCGCACTCTTAAGCGAGCTCTGAATCAACTAAGCCACTCGGCAGGCCCATGAAGATTTTGTTTTTAAAGCCTCCAGATGATAAAGAACTTAGCTGTATGACACTGTTTACATTAAGTTAATTTTCCCCGAGTCCCAATGACATTATTGTTAAAACAGAAACACCAACCCCTACTTTTCAAGGCTCATGTTAAGATTAGGAACAATGAATGTAAAGCACACAGAAGTAACTGATCACAGTATGTGGTTATTAAATAATGATTGCTGTACTATGTATGTTCTCAAAAGAATCTGACACTTAGTGGGAATTTGTACTTCTTTACAAGATTAACATTCCAAATGTGTCTATAAAATAACATAAATGAGGGCCAGTCAAGTGGCTCAGTTGGTTAAGAGTTCGCTCAAGAGTGTGAGCTCTGAGCAACAGTGGTTCGATTCCTGGCCTGAGCTGAGCTGCTGCTGAGCTGCCAACAGGTGGCAGGCTGGCTCAGCTTAAAAACAAAACAAAACAAAAAAAAACCATACATGATTTTATTTTTCTAACACATCAATGCTGTTACTTTTAAATTGATTTTTATATCAAACATTTCTGAAAAGCTTTACTTAAAACTAGTGTATGGCTTTCTAATCATTTATTTTTAATACCCCCAATGGGATAGTATTTGGTCAGTTGAAGAGTGATGTGATTTTTGGATGACATTAAGTTATTCTAGTTAATTCCAGTGGGTGTCAAGCTGTGAACTACTACTCTGAACCCAAAATTAGACGGATTGAACGAGACTAAAAATTTTTTTATGGCTTATCAGAAGTAATCTAGAAGAGGATTCTTTCATTACTGTATATTTCAAGAAACTCCCTTACAACACTTGTTATCCACTGAACAGTTTTTAACCTTCACACTTACCGATGTATTACTGCTAGTGCTGGCTGCACTGAAAGGGTCAGTACTTGAAGTGACAAAAGGATCAACAGAAGATTGCTTGAAGAAATAGTCAGATGCAAATGGATCTGAACCTTTGAAAGGATCACCTCCAAATGGATCTAAGAAAATACAGCACAAATATGAGACTAAAAAACTATTATACTGAGTTTCCTGTCACCTGAAGGCACGACAATTGCAGTAATAAAAAGACAGTTTGAACTTCTGCAGAATCTAAGTTAGGTACTTTGTATTATGACTATGGATCATAAAAAAAGTACAGACAGTTCCATCTAGTTAAATAGTTTTAATTAACAATTCTTTCCTACTTGTTCATCATTCACCCAAAGCATAACAATAATTCTAACACTTACTACACAAATGTTTTCTGTATGCTAGGCTTAAATAATTCCTCTAAGCTGATGATTCTAATTTTGCGGGTGGGTGGAGAAGGGATCAGATTCCTTTTTGGTTTTGATGAAAGAAGAGTCTTTCGCCTAATAAACTTTTTAAATTAGCATATTTTTAAAAAATTATTTTTTTTAATTAGCATATAATTTCAAGGGATCTCATTCTATGCTATCATAAAGAAATAACAAAAATTTCTAAATGTATTTCTCTCTGAGCTCAAGTGTAATAGCCAACAGTTTGGAACAAGTTTGGAAAGCATTAACTAAATGAAACACAAGATTTGCTTTATTCTCAAGAAAAAATCTCAAGAAAGAGTATCTTCAAAAGCCTGACATTTAGTAATTCTTTACAATGTTTCCTTTTCCCCCATTCATTAGAATAGGCTGTAATCTTGGGAAAACAAAAGTTTTTAAACCCTGCTGTATGTAGCTCATTATATTCATCTAATCTTTAGCTAATAAGGGGGAATCAGTGTAAATAATTAAGCAAATTCACAAGAATCTACCACTTTCTCTCTGAAAATGCCAGGCACATACAACATGTTAGTGGGGCCTTAGATCAGTTTCAAAACTAAATAAAAAGAAAGTCCATTTCCTAAAACTACCCAACTGTCATCTCTCATTCCTAAATACAACATAAGCTCATTATTAAGCAGAATCAAATATAAGCTAGGATGGACCCCAATAATATACTGACCAATTTTCCCAAAAGGATCATCCTTGAAAGGATCACCTGTGATGAAATAAATAAGGACAAATCAAAATAATATTCACTGTTGTAGCACCATTAAAGGGTAACTTTAAAACAATAGCAAAGTTTCTTAAAGCAAAGTTTGTGTCATTAACTCTACCTCAAAGTAGATAAAAACAATGAATGCCAAACAACTTTAGTAAATATTTAAAATAATAGAGTAAAGGCAAAACTTCAACAAATCTCATAAAAGAGGCTAATTTGAATTAGAGCTAACTATACTTACCTCCTGATCATAGCAAGAATTTTACATACAAAGTTTCTGCTCTTCCCAACACTACAGGATGGGTATTAACATCACCATTGCAGAAACAGAGACACTGAGCTTCACTGAAGTAAAAAACAATTCTTACAGAACTAGAGAGTCCAGAAATAAATAAACCCTTACATTTATGGTCATTTGAATTTTGACAAGAGTGCAAAGACAATTCAATGGAGAAAGAATAGTCTTCAACAAACGGGGCTGAGACAACTGGATATATCCACATGCAAAAGAGTAAAAATGGAACTTTATTTCACATCATATACTGTAATTAACTCAAAATGGATCAAAGACTTAAATGTAACAACTAATACTATAAAACTCTTAGAAGAAAACGTAAGAGTAAATCTTCATGACTTTGGATCTTAGATATCTCAAAAGCATAAGTGACAAAAGAAAAAATGGATGAATTGAACTTCAAAAATAAGACAACACAGAATACAAGAAAATATTTGCAAATCATATATATGATTAAGGGACTTGTATTCAGAATATGTAAAGAACTCTTACGACAATAAAAAGACAAACAACCCAATTAAAAAATGGACAAATGATCTGAATTAACATTTCTACAAAGAAGATATACGAATGGCCAATGAGCACAGGGAAAGATGCTCAACAACATGAGTCATTAGAGAAATAAAAAATCAAACCCACAATGAGAGACCACTTCACACCCACTAGGATAGCTGTATAATCAAAAGGATAGATAATAACGAGTGTTGGCAAGGATACAGAGAAACTGCAATCGCTGGGGGGAATGTAAAACAGTGCAGACACTTTGAAAAACAGCCTGGCAGCTCCTCAAACAATTAAACATAAGAGTTATGGTATGATCTGATATATACCCAGGAGAAATACAAACATATATCTATACAAAAACTTGTACATAAATGTTCATAGCAGCATTACTTTTAATAGCGAATAAAGTGGAAATAACTCAAAAGTCCATAAACCAATGAATAAGTAAAATGTGGTATATCCATCCGATGGAATATTACCCCACTGATAAAAAGGAATGAAGTACTGAAACAAACTAAAGCTTGAGTGAACCTTAAAAGTATTACACTAAATGAAAGAAGCCAGACATAAAAGAACACATATTGCATAATTACATCAATATGCAAATCTACACAGACACAAAGTAGATTAGTAGTTGCCTAGAGCTGGGGTAGGGGAATGGGAAACTGACTTCTAATGGGTACAGATGGGGTGGCTTTATGGGGTGATTAAAAAAAAAAATGTTCCAAAATTAGAATTTTGGAGATGATTATACATCTCTGTGACTATAATAAAACCATTTAATAGTATACTTTAAAGGTTCAATTTATGTACCTTTCCACACTATATAGCTCAATAAAGATTTTTAAAAGTGTTCTCATATCTAGGCTCATTTCTGCCATGACTCTAAGCAAGTTACTCTAGCTATGTGCCTCGATTTCCCATCTTTAAAACTGATATAAACTGACCTATCCATTTCACAAGGTGATTTTAGAAATAAATAAAATGCAAAAAGAGTTTTGACACAAGTGGTATTTAGCAGAGTTGACACTTACATCACATATCTCAGTTTATTAAACTTATGTTTCTTCAATAAGATTGTAGGTACCTTCAGGGCAGGGATCAGTCTACTAAGTACTACATAGCTTTCACTGTTTTAAAAGCATGGTGTTGGCATTTCTAGTAAACAGGGCACGCTGGTTAAGAGTGCCCTGTCTCCTCTCTTTCTTTTGGTCCTTATTCTGAAGAAGAAACATACTCTTTATCGGGGGCTCCTAAGACATAATCAAAGGCTTAGTCCCAGGATTTAGTTGCCTAAAGGGGACAAATACTAAAACCGGAGCATATAAACCTTTACTCTTCACTCTACTTTTGTTATGACAAGTAGGTTCTCAAAACTGAAGCCCTAATTCATATAGTTTATGTGTTAGAAAGCCTTTTTGGTAAATCTATAATATAAAAATAGAGTACTTACTGCCAACAAAAGGATCAGACTGGAAAAAATCCAAGTTTGTATCTGCAACCGGATCTGTCAGTGAACTTGATTCTACAATAAATGGATCTTCCTAAAAATAATTTTAAATAAGAAAAATTGTTTTAGGAACCAAAGCTTTAAAAGGTAACGTTTGAAAATAACATGCTTTGAAAAACCAACTGATGGTAATATAACAAATATTTCTGTGGTCAAAGTTCACTTAACACATTTTTCTCTTTCTTCAGCCTAAAGTAGTGTATAACACATCCTGGAAAACCAGCGATAAGAACATTTACATATAAAATTATTTTTACCTCTTTTGAGTGTCTGTCACTGTTAAATTCAGGACGAACTTTTTCATTAACAGCTGAAGTCACCACTTCGTTTTCGTCAGTCACACCAGAAGGCAGTACTTCAGGACTGCTTCTTGCCTACGAAATATTAATGCCATATAGACTAACAAATACATTTTCTACTGGCAGAGGAAACTGACAAAGAATAACCAAAAGTTACTAGAAAATAAAAAAAGACAAGCAGAACATATATGGTGAATGATGTCTCCTATAATCTCTCTGGGGAAAATGGTATCACCAAGCATCGAAGTCCAGAAAACGTCAGGTCTTCCTTAACCACTTCCCTTTAGTCACCCCTAAGTTAGACTCCAAGTTTTACTGAGTCTACTTCCTACCTCTTTGTCAAATCCTTCCCTTCTTTTCCATCCTGTCACTACCATCCATTTACAGTATCATCATTTCTGGTCCAGATTACTATAGTAACCTTCCAATGTTCCTGCCTGTAATGTGTGCCCCTCCAATCCATCTACCTTATAGTAGTCAAAGTAACAGATCTAAAATGTTAACCTGATCTTGACCCTTTTGGTCAAGATTTCTTCAATGGCTTTCCATTGCTTTCTGGATTTATACCAGTAGATTAATAAGGCTTAAGAAGTGGCAGGGGAAATCTCCATTTCATACCACCCTATGTCTTTGAAGGATAACCTAATAATTTTACCTTTTATGCTTAAAAAAATATTCTATGTGCCCAAGACTATACTGTCTAAATAAAATCAATTTTATATCCTTAATATCTCTAATTTGTCTTCTTCTAATTGTCCCTCTTGTTACTGCTTAAGTTTAGGTTGAAACAACTCTCACCCAGACCATTCCAATAGTTTCTTAACATATCTCTCTATGTGTCTAGTCCCACTCTCCAATCCACTTTCCACGTTTTCTAAAAGGTAAATTTAATCCTGTCACTTCTTGGTTGAAATGCTCCAATGCCTACCACTGTAGTATGATAAATTCCCCAATGCTTCAAGATGAATCCAAATTTTCTACTATGTGGTCTCTTCTGACGTAAAAGTGGTCATTTTTATCCAGGTACACATCACAATCACGCAGGGAATTTGTGTATAAAATATATGTACCCGGTTCCATCCCAGAAACTCCAGTTCAACAAGGTGGAGTGGGGCTCAGGCATCTGTATTTTGATCAAGTACCAGAGGTAATGCAGGTGCCCACTGGGAGAGCGCCTCATCTCCTACCAATGTTCTCCCCACCATCACAAGATACCCTCCGAAAACTTCCCATGACTCTGTGCAGCATGCCTTCTCCCATCTCATACCTATGCTAATGCTGTTGTCTCTGCAGGAATGTGCCACCTTCTCCTTTGCTTGACCCCTTCTCACTGTGAAGGTCATTTATAAAGCTTTCCCTACACTTCTCTAAGCCCCCTCCAGGCTGTCTACCTGAATATCCCTCCCATGCTTCCTGTGACAGCCCTATCACACAGTGTCACACTACTAGGCCGTATTCTGCCTGAAGGCAGGCTTCTGCTGTCTTTTCTCTGTAGCTCTCACACATAACGTAGCAGCACTCTTACACATAGTTGGTGCTCTCTAAATAAGTGCTAAATAAATGTCCTCAACATTATGAAATAAAGAATTCCTTTCACCTTTGGGTAAGAGTATATAAAAACTGTTTTAAAAAGTTACTATTTATAGAACTACTGTTTTGAAAACATGCTCTATAACAAATAGATTGGTTAAAATTACATTTTTACACTAGTAGCTGTTAGAATTGTTGGCTCAGTATTCACTCTCTGCCTCTGAAAAAAAAATCTCAATTGTCCTCAGATAAGTCAGGGCACATATTTACATTTGGTATGATGTCAACAAAACTTTGACCTCAATCACTTTTTTTCTGAAGTTGATTATGAAGGTTATGGAACTGTTAGACTCACTGGAGACTCCTGGTGTATGGGCTCCGACTCAAGGTTGCTCTGGCTTTCAGCGTTCTCATTCAGGTTGGCTGTTTCACTGCTGCTGGTGCTCAGACTACAATAATCTGTAGCACCATTTACAATAATGCTGTGTGGGCTGCTGCACCAATTTAACTGATTATTGTTTTCCAGCTCTTTCATTTCCATCAGTTTCATTTGCATCTGTCAACACAAAGTAGAAGTACAAAACAGAATTTATTACTATAAAGATATGCAACGTAGAAATGGCTATACCCTTGGACTTAGTCAAGGACAAATTTGCTTCCATAAGGAGAATACTCTGGGAAGAAAGCTTGACTTAAAGATTTCAGTAATCCATTTCACTAAGTTCTCCTCTTGAAATTCTAGTACATATAGATTTGCTTTTGTACATCTTTTTAAAGTACTAAGCATTTTGATTCAAATATCTGTATACTGGCAGTCCTTTAAGGTATAGTCAGAAAATAAGGGTCAGGGTATTGGGGAAAAGATAGGAAAGTGACAGAGCAAGAGAAGATTTTGTAGTGAAGCTTTAGAAGAGATAAAGGAAGTTGAGGGAGAGTACACAAGGCTTTGGATTCATCCATACTCCTATTGGGAAGGCAAAGAGTGAAGACAAAGGCAAAACGAGCTCTGGCATTTTTTATTAATGGGCTAGAGCCCTAGGAAGTAGTTTCTACATTTAAGCTATGCCAAATATGCTAAATAAAAGGTACTCAAAGTTTTTTTGATCCCGATATCCAAGTGACTTTATACTCTTGGGACTACAGTGGGGCACAGAGGATAGAAGTCAATAAATTTTAATATATACGTAAAAAAATGTTGGGGATCAGAGGCAGGAAAAAATACTTATTTATACTAACATCTATAACAAAGAACTACGAATATCTCAAAAGAAACTGAGAAGGCAAAATCAAAAAATGTTTCTAATGAAAAGGATAGTCCCATTTTCCATAAAATATGTATATTTTAAGTAACATTGGAATTGTCTTTGTTAGCATGGTGTGCCTTTTGTTTTTAGCAAACATAAAAAATACCTACTGACATTTCATAAATTAAGACACTATTCACTTAACCTTATTTTCCCCAAAAGGGTTTTTTTTTTCCCCTTAAGACTTTAAGGCTGAACTCTATTCATTTATTTTTCTTAAAAAAAATTTTTTTTCAGTAACAGTTGACATACAATATTATATTAGTTTCAGGTATACAACTTAGTGATTAGACATTTACAAAACTTACAAAGTTATCACCCCAGTAAGTCTAGTACCCAGCTTCTCGTAAGGTTTTTAAGTTGCTTAATTTGGAATCTGTAACTTAGCACAGATATTTCAGGATCATAACCTGGGAAAGAACATGATATTGGATTGGGAAACAGATGTAAATCTAGCTCTGTCACCTTCTAGTTAGGTGATCATCATCAGAATAACCTCGCCAAGCCTCTATTTAATTCAAAAGGGAGTAATAATCACCTGTTATGCAAAGCAAAAGATATATTTGAAAGAACTCTGTAAAATGTAGAGGACTATATAAACAATGGACAACGTGTGTAAAGGTACCTGGCACATCAAATTTCCCATTCCTATAAGCAATTATGTTTTCCTCTGTTCCTTTCCCACTAATTCACCCCATTTTTACAAAGTTAAAGACCTTGAGCTCCTTGAGGGTAGAGACCACAACTTTTGTTATCAACTTTGTACCTCTAACATCTAGCACGATGATGCACACTGTAAGTGTTTAATATGTGTTCACTTAATGAACACAAGTATTGTGCTTATAAATTTTAACCGTGGACATCAGAAAGCTACCAAACTGCATTGCATTTATAATTTAAACTAACAATCCAAAAATACTACACATTTGTAACACACAGCATATGTCTTGTACACTCCTAGTGTGATAAAACAATGACTTATAAACTTTTTTTACTTTAATCCATAGAAAGAAATAGATTTTTCATCCTAACTCAGTAAATATATGTAGCTATCTGGATATGTCTCTGTGTGTATAGATATATACATAAATATAAACACATATATGTAAAATACAGACACATACACAATCATATAGTTTATATATGACTTTATACACACACATACATATGCACATACAGTGGTGAAACAAGTTTCATGAAGTAAAACATATCTTTACTATATGTAATGTACTCTGATGTTTCCTATTCTCTCTTGTTTCATTTTTTAAAAAACATTTTATCATGATCATTGAATCAATTTCAGTACCCACTATAACCCTGCAGTCAAAAATTTAAAACCTTAACACTAAAATAATACCCATTATATAGAGGAGGCAGTAAGGAAAAATACTTGCCTATCAAACAATTCTATTTAGGACACTTTGTTCCTTCTGGTTATTTCTGAGACAATCAGTAGAATATTGAACAAAACTAGGCAATCTTGTGTCTGGCTCTCTCATGCACCTGCCTGTCATTAAGGCTAGGTTCTTCCTTAGTCTCTGCATAAACTTAGATGATACAAAAATATCACTCATGCAACTAACACAAGCTCTTTGCAAACAGCCCAAAAGAAATGCACTAAACTTTTAGAACACCTTCAAAATACTTGGTTAAAAATAGTATATATTGTATAAGAACAAATACATAGATTTAAGGTCTGAGGGTCTTTGCTTTTTTCTTGCTGCAAATACTAGGTAAGAAGTAAAGATGAAAACTCAGCAAATTAGAAAAAATTTCTTTAGTTATTCCTTTTTCCAGAAAAGCTACAGTTTAAGCTTTAGAGAGCAACGAA